ATTTCCATGGTTGTTCATCACCAATCATCATCATCATTAATCATTCAAAATCATCATCAATCCACCAAAATTATCATTCATAAACAATCATCAAAATTCAAAATCATCATTCTAATAAACTTACATAATTAATTTGAAATGGAAAGGGGAATGCCAAACGGGAACTCGGCGGAAGGTTCTAGGCGAGGAGGACAAGGCGGGGCAGGGAGAAGGCGGAGGAGGGGGTCTCGGAGACCTAGCGCCGGAGGGGGAGGAGGAGAAGGCGGGGGAGGGGTCTCGGAGACCTAGCGCCGGCAGGGAGATGCTGGCAGGGCCTATCGCGCGAGGGAGGGAGGAGGTCAAGTCGGGGGAGGGAGAAGGCAGAGGAGGATGAGGTCTCGGCGGCCTATCCGGTGTTGAGGAAGTTCACCGTGAGTCTCGGGAAGTCGGCGGTGGAACGCAGGGAGATGGCGACCGTCGTCTCTTTGGTAGGGTGGAGGCTGTGGGGTGGCTGATGAGTGTTGTGTTTGGTGAGTCGAGGAACACGAAGGCTAGGGTTGGGGGGTTTTAGGCAGCTGGGCATAAATGAAGTTGTTTTAGGTCGGTCGGTTACATTGGTTAGTCGTTTAACCGGCTTCGGTTTATTGGCTAGCCGACGCACCACCAACCTATTCCCACACCCGACCGACGCAATTATACTCCGGTTTTTGGTTAGCCACTAACCGGCGGTTAACGGTTAGGCTGGCCGGTTAGCCTCTAACCGGCAACCGAAATGACAGCCCTAGCCGCCAACTGATCAGTTCAGGGAGCAGCCATGAACTGACTAACAATCTGCATAGCATATGAAATATCAGGTCTGGTGGAGGTAAGATAAATAAGACTGGCAACAATACTGCGATACTGTTTCCCCCCATCGGCCAATAAGTCACCAGAATCTTGGCTCAACTTTCAGTTGAGCTCAATAAGACTTGAAACCGGGACACATTCGGCAAACCGAATGTGGGTAACCTCGAGACCCAAGTAGTAGGATAGAGACCCGAGTTTCTTGAGCTGAAAAAGACTCATGAAGGCCCTTAGCCAAGGCCAAAATACCTTCACTATCATCACCAGAAACAATCATATCATCCACATATAACAAGAGGACCACTAGACCAGCAGAAGTGTGATGAGTAAACATAGACGGGTCATTAAGACTCTGCGTGAAGCCTAAACCTAGAATGGTCGAGTGAAACTTATCAAACCAAGCCCGTGAAGCCTACTTTAGACCATAAAGAGATCGATGGAGTAAATAGACCTGATCAGAGGACACTCCATGTAGAGAGTTTCCTTCAACTCACCATGAAGCAACGCGTTCTTTACGTCGAGCTGGTATAGAGGCCAACCATGGAGAGATGCAACAGCTAGAAGAGAACACACAGTCACCATCTTGGCTACAGGCAAATGTTTCTTCAAAGTCCACCCCATAATCCTGAGTAAATCCCTGAGCCACCGCTCTCGCCTTGAATCGATCAATAAAGCCATCCGGGTTAACCTTCAATGCGTACACCCACTTGCTCCCAATCATTGAAATTTTGGGAGGAGGACGGGGCACTACATCCCATGTATGATTTTCATGTAAAGCAAAAATCTCATCAGTCATAGCTCCATCCCAGTGAGGATCACCCTTAGCCTGAGAGTACCATGTAGGAATAAGGTAGGATCCAACTGAAAAGAAACATATTCCAAGTAGCGAGTAGGAGGACGACCAATATTACTGCGGAGATATCGGTGCAGAGGAACCTTAGGCGGAGGGGATGAAGATGGCGACGAGTCCGACGAGTTGGGAGATGTGGGGGCAGGAGAAAGCGGCGGACTAGGTAGGGGCAGCACATCATCAATAGCATCATCATCAGGGAAGGATGGAAAACTCAAAGAGGTGTCAAACAAAGGAACAGGTTCAAACGAAGAGGAATAATACATGGGATTTTCGAAAAACACAACGTTACAAGCAATACGGAGACGTTGCAGAGAGGGATCATAGCAAAGGTATCATTTATGAATATCACTGTAACCTAAGAAAACACACCGAACAGTCTTAGAGGTTAACTTTGTACATTCTGAGCGGGGAAGAAGAAAAAAATATAGACAACCAAAGACCCAAAGGCGGGAGTACGGAGGATGTTTAGAGAAGAGCTTAAAATATACTCACTTTGCCTATAATAGGTGTAATCTGGTAATTGATAAGGAGAATGGCAGTGGCAACTGTTTCAGGCCAAAAGGAAGAGGGAACTCAGGAGGCTAAGAGTAAGGTTGTAGTTACCTCTAAGACATGTCAATTTTTGCAAGACCGTTCTGTTGAGAAGTTCCGGAGCAAGATTTCTGAGTGAGGTTACCAACAGAACGATACAGGTTGAGAAGATGCGTGGAACTAAATCCCCCCCCCCCCCCACCAGGATCAGATTAAACTACACGAATGGTTCTATCAAAGTGGGTTTTGACCATATTAAGGAATTCTGTGGCAACAGTCAGAAGCTCCGATTTAAGACGCAAGAAATAGACCCATGTGTAACGAGTATCATGATCAACAAATAGGGCAAAGTACTTATAACCACGATGAGAAGTGACGGGACAGGGACCCTAAAGATCAATGTGAATTGAGTGAAATGATTCTGAAATGGCGATGGGGGTTTTGACCATGTTAAGGAAAGCTCTACTACAGGCATCACAAACATTCCATATCTAACTCGATGGCGATACGGGAGAATTTTCCCCTTTCAAGGTTTTCAGTGTGATAATCCAGCTTAACTGTTCGGCCGATGAGGTTACCAAGAGCTAACAAAACCTATCTATGATAGAAATGAACATGCAATTCAGAGAGTTGAACCCAAGCCACCACTGATCTGTGCGGTTTGTCAGATGTTCTAAACGACGGTGACCACTGATGGACAATAAGGTAGTGGTCGAGGATGACCCATGGCCCTCTTGTAAGAGCCCTCAAATAATCTTGATCGTTCCGTAAAGTAGACAGGAAGGTGTCGTTGTTTAGATCGATGATTTCCTGGGAGCCTACAGGCCGCCACTTCCATTGGAGTTGTGAACAGAAATATGAATATGATTTGTGATTTGTAATGTTTATGTTCCGTATTTTTAATCATTATGATCAAATTATTAACATAAATTTTATTGATGGCTTTCATTAGTAGGATGTGGGTCGAATATTGTTAATCGTTTGTACTTTAATTATTAACACATCATCGACCTTTATTAACAGTATGTGTTGTTCATTATTAGCATGAGGCATGCATCATTAGTAATCGAATTTATTGGATTCTTAACATTTCCCAACATAGTTAGTAATATTTTCATTTTTTCAATATTAATGCGAAATTGAAAGTTGGGAATCACAGGAATGCCGAAGACCATATCAGAAATAAGGATTTTTTCCAAAAATAACACTGTTTATTTTTTTTTTTTACAAAAATAGCACCCAATCCCAAAAAATTCCAAAAATAGCACCCTTTCTAAAAAATTGTTGGGTGGGGCGTGGTTTTCGACCAAAACTGCTTGGGCTAGGGGCGGTTTTGTTGACCCGCATCGGGTACAGGCGGTTTGGTTCAAAACCGCTGCCCCACCCAGCGATTTTGGTCCTATTTTTTTCCCGATTATTCCTAACCTAGGTAGAAACTACAAACGAACGTATCTTTGTGCTCGACGATGCTTCAGCTACTCTTTCGAACTTGTCATTTCAGATCTGCTATCAAAACCGGCCAATATAATCTAACTCCTCTTCCCATTCCATCGAAACTCTCCTCATGGCTATTTCTCCACATTGGCTTCCTTCTCCAAAATCAGACGAATCTCCTTGACTTTCGAATCGCTCAATGAGTCTAAACCTGTGCCACCACCTGATTCTTTGAGAACGGTTGTAGCCCCGAAACCTAACGCAATGTAAGAAAGGATCTCAATATGATTCGATCCAAACAAGCCCCAACACCAGTCAAGTTGCAGAAGTGCGACGGTGGTAGCGAAGGCACTCAACAAGTAAAGGGAAGATAATTAAAAATAATAATTAAAAATGATTTTTTTGTTGAAAATTAATTCTATAATAATTAAGATAAAAGGGCAATATAGTCCTTTCATACGTTATTTAACGTTAAGTTGACAGAAGGATATATTTGTTGCATTGTAATAGAAGAAGGATATGTTTGTGCAAAATAATATTGAAATGGTACATTTGTTAATTTGCAATAATAAAAAGGCTATTAAATCATAAAAATATTAATAAAGAATATAGTTGTCATGCCGGCCGGCATGCTACCGATTGAACCGGGTTCAATCGGTTCCGCCAATGAAACTGGCATGACCCCATCGGTATGACCGGTATGATCGATCTTCAAATTTTTAATTAAAATGATGTCGTTTTAGTGAATTTAATTATAAGTACATGTAATTTTCTTAAAAATATCATATTTTAGTTAAATATCAATATGAATTGTACGTAAATTGTCTTTAAATATGTTTTATATATGATTAAATTCATTTGAAATTAATGATTTTTGACATTTGTACATATTTTATTAACCGGCATGAACCGACACAAACCGGTTGTACCACCGGTAGAACCATTTCACTTGATAAACCGGCACAACGGTATAAACCGGTTTGACAACCTTCTAAAGAAACTGGGCCGGGATCAAAATTAAGACGCAGGCCCAAACAGACCCTAATGCACTAAGCCCCGTCCATTCCAACTCTTCCGAACTACTCCGCGTACCGTTCTTCTCATCCACTACTTCTACCTAATCAACCAATTCGGGTCTTGTTGCTCCTCGGAATGGATTAATATCCTAGAGAGTAGAGATTGTTGCTCCTCTATTGTAACCAGTGGTTTCTTCCACCGCAAGTAATGAAAAAACTGTCCTACTGAAAAAAAAAAAACCAATTCGGGTCTTCGCAGCAGCTAGGGTTTGGAATACGAAGAGGATAATAGACCCAGATCAGAAAAGATTGAAAACCAATTTCTGAGCCTAGCTTCGGATATGCATAGTACATATCGTCGGCGGCGGTATCAGAGTGATCGTCCCGCTCAGTCGACAAGTCCCCTTACCCGGAGACGGCAAGTGGGCTCTGTTAAGTCGGGGACCATGTTGAGGTGGGGGCAGGCGAATCCGGTCCAGCTACCCACATATCTTCCACAGCGGTATCCGAGTCCTCCTCCCGCTCAGGCGACAATTCCCAATTATAGTGGTGATACGGAGGAGAATTGGTGGCATGCTGCGGTGCTCTTCCGTCATATGGGCTGTCTGTTGCTATGTTTGGTGGATGCAGATGAGAAGAAAGTAGTCTGGACTGAGCGATTGAGCTGCGCTGACGGTACGGGTTTCGTTTCTTTAGGATCAAAACTCTATGCTTTTGGTCCTGGTAGAAGTTATTACGTTTGTGATCTTGGTGGTGGGGTTAGGAGAAACCTCTACAAGTTTCACAAAGCAGGGGAGCTGTGCTCAGCTAAGCCATATCCTATCGTCATTCCCTACGCTAACAGCAAGATATTTATCATCGGTACTGGTTCCCCTTATGAGTTAATGGAAGAAGTTGATCCTCATTTATGGGAGGTTTTGGATGTCCATGCGAACGTGACAAGACCTGTGAGTGGTAAACTCCCATTCTATGAAAAGAATGCTCGCGGCAGTGGTGGCACGTTTTCCCGGGGTTATACCGTGGTTGGGAATACTGCGTATGTTTCTGTCTTTGCCTATTCAGATGGGACGAATACCAATCCTCCGTATTGTCTTGACATGGTAACTGAAAGCTGGTACCCGCATGAGCAGAAACCTGAGTTCAACTACGTGTTCAACCCTTATGACAACTGGCAAACACTGGGTGAAGTTTGCAAGACTAAGTTGTTTAAGGTGGAGCTGAGTAGCTCTAGCTCTTGCTCTGAAAGGCCTCTTCTTTGCATCAAGGTATTGGATTTGAGGATTTCTAAACCAGGAGGACCTGAAAAAGTCGACTCTCATGGATTTCAACCACTTGAAGTTCTAAATGATAAGATGAATGCAGTGGAATACCGTTATTTCAAAGAGGCATCTGTTCTTCCTTTGAACAATGTGCATGGTGACTTGTTTTGTCTCTTTTTCCTTTATTATGACATGAAAATGTCCCTTACCCTCCAGCTCTACAACTTCAGATTGTTGATCAACGAATCCCCTCTCTATGGCTGCAAAATCATGTCTACAACATTATACCAAGACTTTGCTCCAAAAGGATGTCACCCTAAACTCCTTATGACGTCAGGCGGCTATATGATCTGTAACAATGGCATTCTGTAAAGGCCGGCTCGATCACATTATGAGCCTTGGGAGATCGCTCATATTGGGAGTAAGTCCATTTACTAATAATTTCTCCTAGTGCCATACTGGATTTATTTTTATCTTAGCGCAGCATCCTCCTTCGTTGTCACTAGTGAATATTATGCTTTTTAGTTGTTATGTGACGGAAACCTGATGATCTCCAGTGGCTGCCTCTGCCATGATCTTTAGTTTATCTATACATGTTGCACCGTATACTTTCTAAATGTCGTTTTTTTTTTGCATTATCTATTTCCGGTTGATTGTTGGCTTGTCACTAGTGAATATTATGCCTTTTAGTTCTGTGACACAGACCCGACGACCTTCAGTGGCTTCATTGTCATGCTCTTTAGTTTATCTACACATGTTGCACCATATACTTTCTAAATGTCTGATTTCTGTTTCTTTGTATTTTCTATTTCCAGTTGGTTGTTGGTTTGACAGCCTGGTGCTGAGGATGAGGTTAAGTGTTCTAGAGTACTATGCCGCAGCTTGGAGGAGGATTGGTGATCTCATGGACGCTTATTTTCCATTTTGCTGTCTATCTATCCTTCTCTCATGTGTCTTCAACTGCCCTTGTTGTGAAAGAAACTGTTCCCTGGGTTGACTTCCCTCTACTAACATCTCTTGTCTGAAATATGTTGAACGTATCTGGATTCCTTTCTGCTTTTCCTTCACTTTTCCTATGGCCGATGATGTTGATGTTAACTCTTATATTTCATGCAATGTACTGTGTTGGTTGTTGGCAGCGGTGTTGTGTGTATTGTTTGGGCTATCCTGGGAAGGCCTATTTTATCGGCCCGGCACGTTAAGACAAGGTAGGAGCCATATTTTTTTCTTTTTCTTTTAAGAAAATGGAACCCTTGTGGGTTCCAACCTTTATGCATTAACGAAATGGAGTGACTCAACCTCAATCTGCGCGATCTAATCAAAGGACAATCGATAACCAAGAGAATGACGGGGTGTAGAATAAATATGTTACCCTACGGGCAAAAAGTTGGCCTCTCAATCAAGTGTTTGACTGTAAGTCAGTCCAACTCTAAAAGAACTTTACGTTAACCCCCAATTCTTGGGCAATCTTGAGGCCATACAAAATACCACCTAGCTTTGCACGTGTTTTTGCTGAAAATGCTCTAAGCGGCCGTTGTCTCCCCTTAAAATGCTGAAAGCTGTGGTCCTAGAAGTAGGGTGAACGGTAAACCATATGTATTGAGATCGGTCCAACCATGCTGCGGTGGCCTCCATGATATTAGTCGTCGTCCTTGAGCTCCCCCCTACTCCGAATAGTGTGAATAAGTTTCAAGCGTGCCCTCGAATGCGTGGTTATTCTGGTTCTTCCATAGTAGCCAACAAGTTCATGCAAAAAGAGTACTACAAGTGATGTTGACCCTCCCACAAGTCGCCACGTGGTATTGGAAGTTAGATTTCGTCTTGCCCTCTCTTGATTTGTTGGCAGTCTATCATGACTAGCAAGTCAAATGAAAGCCCGAATACGTTGAGTAACGAGAATCTTGCAAAGATGACCCCAAATTGGTTGGGTAGTTGGCCTTGTCTCCTCTGTGTCAATGAGCTCATATGCAGATAGGAGGCGAATTTGCTTGAGGTGTGAGGCGCCACAAGGGAACGTCATTCTCATGTGGAACAAAATGAAGCACTACCTACGCAACAAGAGCCCCCCCCCCCCCCCCCCCCTAAGAACATAGTAATATAAGAACTATTGCAATCACGAAGAACATGCAGCGTTGTTTCTGGCCCTCCCACTAGGGTTGTTCAAATGGTTACCATGATATTACCAAACCAAACGAGTTTAAAATTTATTAACCCTCGAATACAACATCATAACGAAACCGTCCAAATTAATACAACAACCAAATCAACTAAACTAAAGTTTAATCGATTTGGTTGATTGGTTAACCAGAATACCAATATAACATCAACTTAATCAAACCAAATTACCCAAATACTAACAGTTAAAATGGTTACCACGGTAACCACACCGTTTGTGTTAGAGAGTGATATAAGATTCAACATAACCTTCTTCCAACAACTCGAGTTATTGGGATCAATTGGTTCTTGACATGGTATCAGATCTGGTTTGGCCAAGTGGTCGTGTGTTTGAATCTCCAGGCTTGTGCAAACTTCAAGCCCGTGAGTTGGCTTTCGTTTGAGGGGGCGTGGTAGAGAGTTGTATAAGATCCAGCATAACCTTCTCCCAACAACTTGAGTTATTGGGATCAACGGGTTCTTGATAGTTTGAAATTTGAACACCCCTACCTCCCCCAAGTCGGCACGTGATATTGGAAGTTAGATGTCGTCTTGCCCTCTCTTGGTTTGCAAGCAGTCTATCACGAGTAGCAAGCTAAAAGAAAGTTCGAATACGTGAGCTAAGAACATAGTTATATAAGAACTCGAGTTATTGGGATCAATTCGTTCTTGATAGTTTGAACACCCTTACCTCCCCCAAGTCGGCACGTGGTATTGGAAGTTAGATGTCGTCTTGCCCTCTCTTGGTTTGCGAGCAGTCTATCATGAGTAGCAAGCCGAAAGAAAGTTCGGATACGTGGGCTAAGAACATAGTTATATAAGAACTATTCCACTCACCATCGAGTGAGTACAAATTCAACAATAGGGAGGCTTGGCAGTAAGCAGTGGACTGCTCCACAGTACTGGCAAACTATAATGCGACCACCAATCTGTCCAAAACATATTATGTGAGCCATTTCGAACCTTCCAAATAATGACATCCTCGAGTAGATGCCATACTCGTAGTACGCCACGACAGAGGTTGGCAATGGGGTCGTCATCCGTTTGCTGGAGGTACTTAGACCTGACAACTCGAGCCCATAGATCATATGGCTCAGTAATCAGGTGCCAAGCAAATTTCAGCATGTAGGCTTCATTTATCTGAGTCGCATCCCTAAGGCCTAGCCCCCTCCATTTTAGGTCGACATACAGAATGTCCCCGACTAAAGTAACGATCTAAGCCTTTTCTTGATAGCTTAGAATGTCCCCAATCAGTGCCAACAATTTGGCTCGCTCTAACTGCAACTTCCCAATCCAAGGCCAAGTCTAACCAACGATCGGGTGTAGCATGGGTAAGCAAGTAATTAAATTATCAAACCATGGGTCTCTAGATGTACCTTACTTTGGCTTAAGTTTCATTATTTAGTAAACCTAGATTAGTGATTAAGAAGAAACTAACTAAACTAACCTAACCACTACCCTAGCTAATTACAGTTGTGGAGATCTCTTAGCTTGAATCCCTCTAGCTTCTCATATGGATCGATGTTGATTACTTAGATTGATTGACTCAATACCTCAACTGTTAGGATATCGACTCTCTTGGATATTGATCAGGAACGGCATAGCGGTGAATTGATAGTGCTATATTTAAAATAAGGAAATCATATCTCGCCAAGATATCGATCAAATCGATTAACTCGGGAATTAACTCGGAACGACATAGATTGAGGAGTGATCATAATTGTCAAGAATGTGCCAAAAGGGGACTGTCTCCCTCCTAGGAAGGTGAGACCCAAGGATAGGGAAGCCTTTTCTTTCTTATGCGAGAAGGTCTTTTTCAAAGATTCTATAGAAATTTATATATGAAATCGAGATAGTTACCTTTCATAAAAGGAAAATTCTAACGATAGTAGAACAGCTATGCTTTCTTCTTGTTAAGGTGGGAGAAAATATAAAACGGATTAGTACTAAAAAAAATTTATTTTGAAACTCATGGAATGCAATTAACCTCTTTCGGTTAACTCGAGAAAAGATGGGGCGGGGATGCTAAAGGAATTGATTGCTGAGCCCTATGAGACAGAAAACTCTCAAGTACAATTCTATGGGAAGGAATTTATTTGCCTATTCCGCTTGAGGAGAACAGGCCATTGGGCAAGGGGATTCTGAAATTGCGGAGGCTTGGTTTGATAAAGTCGCGGAGTATTGGAAACAAGCTATAACACTTACTCCTGGAAATTATATTGAAGCGCAGAATTAGCTGAAAATTACAAAGCGTTCGAATAATATATGTACACCTTTTTTAGTAATTCTAATTTATTACAACTTTTCTTTAGTATTTCTTCCATTTTTCTATTTTTTATAATTAATTGTTTGTTGTCCCCATCAGTCAAATAACACGCTTTCTTTCTCTAAGAAGAACCGAGAATTTTATGACTTTCATTATACTCTTTCTACTTCTAAGTTCTAATATCAACCCTTGTTGTTTCGTCTGATATTTTATTTCAAATGAATAAAGGGTACGCAAGTCCTATAAAAGAGACCCTCTGACTGCCCATGCCTAAATATAGATACTGGGATTTAGCTTAGTAATGTTCTCAACTGATTTAGAATAGAGTAACAGTATAAGAGTAATAGCAATACGTTCTATGTAAACCATAAAGTTCCATCTAGGAATTTTTAATTAAGATAGGCGTCTAGTAGGTTGCACAAAAGTTTTTTCTTCAATTCAAAGCCCGGGATGTCTGTTGAGCATCTTACTAATATGTCATAATAGATCCGAACACTTGCTTGGGATAGACTTCCAATCCAGATCATAATTGTTCAAGTGACTAACTAAAAAAAAACTAGATACTTGATAAATGGGAGATAAAAAAAGTATAAAACAAACTAGAAACCTCTCTCATATGGCAGATCTCTTTGTATGTGTTGTCAGGAAAGAGGAGGACTCCATAATTATTTGTTCGGCGGAACCAGAAGTAAAAATTTTGGTAGATAGGTTTCCCGTCAAAACTTCTTTTGAGGAATGGGCCACAATTGGTCATTTCTCAAGAACAATAGCTAAAGGACCTTATACTACTACTTGTATCTGGAACCTACATGTCGATGCTCACGATTTCGATAGCCATAGCATTGATTTGGAGGAGATTTCTCGTAAAGTATTTAGTGCTCATTGCGGCCAACTCTCCATCATCTTTCTTTGGTTGAGTGGCATGTATTTTCACGATGCTCGTTTTTCCAATTATGAAGCATGGCTAAGTGATCCGACTCACATTCAACCTAGCTCCAAGTGGTTTGTACAATAGTGGCTCAAGAAATATTAAATG